ACATATGAATTGCCAAGAAGGATCAAACATGAACAGAGACGGCAAAAACATTGAGGCTGAGTAGTACAGATCCATTTTGTATTGTCACTTCAGGTTAGATATGTAAAACAATATTTAGATAATCGCAAAATGGAAATGAATGTTTGATCCTGCTAAATTAAATAACCTATTGCATTACATTCACTTGCTTGTAATCCCACAATAAGGATGGGTTGAACAAGGTGAAAGTATTAAAAAGTAATTCAGTTTGGTGGAGAGCGAGGGATGTAGTTGTCAATTACAAGAGCTTTGTTCATCGAATCAACAGCAAACATGTCGAATCGAAATGATGCGAAGCCTTTACAGAATATATGGCAAATTATAGTGAATAACAAAAGGACACTTATCACAGTTATTAATATTATTATTGTATCCTTTAATTCCTACAGGAACATAGGGCTTCAGCCATGCGTCTCTATTGCGTCGAGTTCTCTGCTAGAGTCTTTACCTAGCTACATGTCAGCTCATACGTTTTCATCTCCTCTTCGCATGACCTCCTCCAAGTCACCGTTGCACTGACGACCAACTCGCTGCCGCTTCCCTTTCGGGTTCCACTCGAGCAATGGCTTGTCTAGTAATGTCACTTGATGCATTGTTTTCTCACAGTATGGCCAATCCATCTCCATTTCTTCCTGCCTATTTGTTTCACAATTGGTTCCTGGTTGGTTCGTTCCCAGAGATCTCTGTTGCTGATCTTTTCCGACCGGCAATCTGATCTTGAGTATTGAGCGAAGACAACTGTTAATGAAGGTTTGTAGTTTGTTTGAGATGCTCTTTATGACGCGCAGTGCAAGTCTGTGATCCGTATAGTGAGTAGCACTGACTTCACATTGGAGTTGAAGATCCGGATCTTATTTTTGATGCTGAGTGTTGTTGACCTCCACACATGCTTGAGAGTAGTGAAAGCTTGTCTTGCTTTTCCGATTCCTGCTCTGATATCCTCGTCAGTTCCGTCTACCTGTAGTTGAAACGATGCTTCCCAGGTAGATAAAAAAGGTTGTTTCTTTCAGGTTCCAACCATTTATGCTGATTGTTGTCTGTTGATTACTGTATCGCTGAGTATTATATGAAAATAATCTTATCTTATATGTGGTTATGTTAAATCATGAGTTGGCAGAAGTTGGAGTTCATGTAGTGACTATGGGATCGCGTCCCAGTGGCTTAATGGTCCACGAGATCATTGGCCCTGTAATCAGAGGCCCTTTGGTTCGGACCTCAGTAGGCATGTACTTCTGAAGAGTCCCATTATAGGACGAAACAGTTGGCCATGCAGTACTCTCCGGCAGGTTTTTCAATGATCCTCGAACCAACGTCAGCTCATGATAAAATCCTGTAACAAATTTACTGTTAAGTGGGTGACGGCAAGTGAAAATTGCGTCGTGAGAGATAATGAAATACCGTGGGTAGAACTTAATTAATTGGAACATCAAATTTTGATGTGTAAGACGTCTGATAATATGACGATTATGTAATCCAATAAGAAGTCAAAGGATCAACAGTTGCGTTAGAGTATGGATAGATTTTAGGGAAAAGTTATAAGTAACTAGTAGTCCTGCAACAGATTCCTTTTGAACACATGGATATAAAACAGAAAACAATGGTGTGACTTATGATTTATAATTCATGGAAAAATACCCATCCAGACATGAATATAACAATAACAAAGTCAACTGAAGAGTCTCTTTTCGGTGAATTCATTCACTTAGCTGTGCAATCGCATTTATTTGCGATTATTTTTTCCATGTGTGTGCACATATAGATTGTCAGAGGAAAATAAAACGTTAATTAGGGTTATTGTTTAACTCATCAGAATATTTCAGAAATATGATAAATGATAAAACTGTAACTAGGGCGTGAAAACTGAATACAAATTAAACACAGATCACTCATTATGCACGGAAAATTCATTCGAAGTCATCTACAAAGTCGACAAAAGCCTTACGAAAATGGTGGGCTTCAGTTTACGTTGCACTCCCAAGGACGCCTTAGCGATCCGGATAAAAAACCATAATTTATGTACACAAAAGAAACTTCTTCACCCCCTCCTTCTACCTTGGGTGTAATTCCAAGTTCTGTTACTTTGTTAATAATGTTTTTTTGTTTGTTATTTTTTTGAATCTTTTATAACTTCTTAGTAACATCTTTTTCTTAACTAACCCTTTATTTACTCTTTCTGCCTATTACATAATTCATTTTGACACTGTCTCCATGTTTTCTTTTCAATAACATCCTATTTTTCTGTGTGTCTTACATGCTAAGCAACCCATGTCAATACTTACCTATCTTCATCTCTCTAGTTACAAATTTGATTATTCATGACATTTGAAAAACATTTTATTGATGTAAACAGTAAACCTCACTAATTTTTACTTTTGTTTGATAATCCTTATTAACTTGTAGTGACCCGTTTTATTACTCATCATCGCAGTATACTTTCACTATGTAATTGTACTTTGATTTGTGTATTACTCTAAATCTTGCATGTTAACAATTGATACTTTTGTACTCGCTCGATTTTTAAATTTTTGGTTGCTGCAATAATACACTATCGTATTCCTTCGCAAGTGCCTTTTGAATTACGTTGTGGATGTCGAGTAATCGCAACGTTAGGACACAAATATAAACGCGAAGAAGTGCTAAGATATACGTGTACTCTAATTCAGTCAAAATATAGCAGCACTACAAACTCACACAAATTAATTATAATATAAATGTAATTGTACAGCCAAGTAAATCACTTTGCCAGAAAGAGACTGTAAATGTACGTGTGAACATTGAACGTTTGTTTATCAGAACTGGTAGCCATTGGCGGGCAAATCGAAGGCGCGAATGGTTCAATCGTGTACAAGTTGGAAGAAGACGAATGAATACGAAAAAAAGTACATTATGTTTACTGTAAAACGTTTGTTCACAGACTTGTACTTATCTTGATTTTAATTGACAAACAATACAACTTCTTTCTTACAAGTACTGGTGGTTTTTTAGAGTTCAAGTCGAGATATAGTCATAGTAATTATCGGTCCGGAGCGTCTTCGCAAATAATAGGAGACAGACAGAGACTCTTCGTTGAAATTTGTTGTTCTTATATTCAAGTCTGGATGAGCACTTTCCGTGAATACGTCTCATCCATCTCTATCTGCTTCTGCATATCTGTTGGATAATAAGTAGATCCTTAACCAGTTCACTACTGGAATTCTCTGTTAGCTATCCTTTTTTGCCGCCTGTCTGATTTTAACCACTGATTGTACACAAATGGTGATGGAATTTTGCAGAAAAAATGTTGGAAATGCTTCCTGTGACATACTTGGTCTCTGAAGCATATCTGTTTGTCATGTTTATTGTCTTCTAAATTCACAATACAGTTTGATTTATCAAGAAACTACTCTGAAGCAAAGATTCGGGCGAAGGTGGTACGTTACGTTACAAAACACCATGTTAGTGAATGCATATGAGTTAAGTCATATTCAACTGAGAAGAACCAACAGATTCCGCTTATGTTAGAAAATATTCAAATGACTTCAATTAAGGGTGAGTTAAGTCTGTTTACGAATGTTTAAACAACAAGTGAAACGAAGCTACTGAGAACTAGACACGTTGTGCAGCTTGTTAATATTCTGGTCGACAGACACTTGGACTCATGTGAAAAATGAGCTAAATCCATTCTGTCTATCTCACACTATCCTCTTCATTCTTAACTCTCCCCTTGTATCTCATCAGGCAGAACCAGAAGCCTATATTGAAAACTATATGATCGCACAAGAAAGAACAATAACTCAACCATACTCTACTTAGCTCGTCTTCCTTGCGATAAAGAAAGCATTGGGCGTGATACCTATAACTTATTAAATGATCAGTAGAACGACTGGATCTCGTCTTTCCAACTCACATCATTTATAGGTACAAAATTTTCTTTCTTTCTTTTCCTTTCCTCTCTCTTTTCTTCTGTTATGTGCTGCTTTGTTTCTTTCGTCCTTACAAACTCTAGTTAAAAAATTCTTCTTCGTTTTTCCACACTCTGTATATCTCGACCTTTTTGTTACCACTTACGCCAGTAAATATGCTAGCGTTTACTTTTCTGACACCTTCAAACAATCTGTTCAATTTTGGCTTTGCTACCGACACGCCAGTATGTTGTTGTCAAAACTAGCTGAGATCACCCTTAATCTATGTAGAATTTTATTTATTGTTAATTTACTAACTGGATGCAATATTGTAGTGAAGTGCTGAGAATTCCATTCTGTATCACAAGTACTGCTTTGGAATAAAGCAAATTATTATCATTATTATTATTATTGTGGTGTGATACAGACAATGTGCTCTAAAGGGATGTTATTCTCACATATTGCGCAACCCTTGTAATTACCTATCAGTCTTCGCCCTCCTAGTTACAATCTGATTATTCTGAAGACGTAAACAATAACCCTAACTAACTTTTCATTTTTCTTTGAAAATCCTTGTGTACATGCACAAAATAATCATAAACAAATGTGTTTGCACAGCTAAGTGAATAAATTCACCGAAAAGAGACTCTTCCCTGAACTTCGTTGTTCTTATAATCATTGCTAATTGCACATTGCGTTCTTCATAAATGTCAGTTCAAAGTTCGAATGCTACTGAAAATTATGTAATATGAAATTCTAGTTTTTCCCTTTTGTGTTATTATTAAACATAATTATCACCTCCATGGGTCAACCATAGCAGCTTCAGGCTACATGGTGGTCAGCTTATCATTCATCAACTCGGAGTGTAGCGGTTGTTTCTCACCATTTTATTCCTTTAATTTCTCAGTGGAGCCTATGGCTTCAAACTACAGCATTGAATGATCGGTAGCAGTGGTTTCATTCTTCACTGGATGGAATTACCACCCTCACACCGAACCCTTCCTCTCCACCAGCCTCGCTACCAGCCTAGTGAGGTTTAGGAGTGCGACGGTCAGGGGCCGAACCTCAGACCTTTAGTGTGGTTGGAGAGGGTTCTATCGGTGAAACACTGACGCCTAAGTGGCCAATGAGCTCGAACTGCTGCAAATGCACGCTATGTAGCAACATTGCCAGCTTGTCGTTTTGGTCATGATTCCCTAATGGAACTGTAAAATTCATCAAATATTTAACACCTCTCCTCTTTCAATATTTCTTTTGGCCGATGTTGATTTGTGATGAAATAACAACGTCGATGTTCAACAGATATATATATTATATATGAGGCGGGAAAGGAATTAAAGTTGACATTTATGTAAAATCTCAGTTATGTATGACGTAATTTGGCATGTGAATCACACACAAGATTGCTGAGACAAAAATTATTCCCTAAAAGACCATAAGAAATACCCAAGACAATAAGTTAGTAGTGATGATTTAAAATAAAAATAGATTTCAGGTATTGTGTAAATGTCATTTTAAAGGTTATTTACATCATTGTCAGTTGATAAATATCAGAAAGCTGAAATATGTATAAATGACACAAGCTGTTATTAACATTGTAACTGACAAGCCAACTGTAAGGTTATATCATATATTCATGGAGAAAACAATTAAAAAGAACAATGACGAAGTAGAAAAGAAACACGGTGCATTCATTCCACTCTTCGTAAGTAGTATCAGAAGTTATGGTATTAGCGATGCTTTTACTAATTGCTGTCTGTAACTTGATGAATAGTTTTTTAAAACGTTAACTTTTGTTCTCCAGGATTTTTCTTAGCATTTATGTCATCAACGTATTTCGGAAGATTTCATGTTATATACTACTCATTAAACCTTAGATTTGATGGAGAAGATTTGTAGCTCAGGTGGACGATTTTGATGTTGTTGTGTTCTCTGAGCTAGATGGTTTGTTTTTGAAGCTTTCATTGCCCTACTAGGCAACATATTCAGTGCATACTTCAATTCGATGAAGTGAGCTTACTGGAACCAACACAGAGACTGTAGCAGATGTTCTCCCTTCATTGCTGCAAAACGTTTGCAAAGGTGCCTACTGATTGGAAGAAGGACTACCTCGTCAAACTGTCAAAGAAGGGCAACTTAGGCCTGTGCCAGGATTATCTAGCGTGGAATAATGTTCATGTCCACGCCAAGTAAACTCCTAAGTCGCATCATCCTGAAGAGAATAAGAGATGCACTGGTTGCAGTACTCCCCCACCCACCTCAACAAGCTGGATTCAGGAAAGGCAAATTATGTGCTCATCAAAAATCAACTCTAAGCATCGTCACAGAACTGGATTATGCGTCGGACTGTTGGGGAGCAAGGAGTCAAGAATGCGCTACACGATCGGTTAGAATACTCTAGAAGATCTGGATTTCGCAGATAATATGTGTCTAATGTTACACAAACTCGAAGACTTGCAAGCGAAAACTAACAAACTGGCGGAAGAAGGAGGCAGTCAGCGAAAGCAAGGCTGTATGTGAACACAGAGAAGACGAAGGTGATGAAGATAATCAATCAACAGCAACAACAACCAGCACCAATCACCATCAAGGGGAGATATTTAATAAAGGTTGCTCCCTTCACTTACCCAACTCGGAAGCATCGTTTTAACTACAGGTGGAACAGACGACGTCAAAGTCAGAATCGGAAAGGCAAGATACGTCTTCATTAACCTGAAACCAGTTTGGAAATCTACCGCAATCAGCATAAGGAACAAGATTCTCATTTTCAGCATCAATGTGATTTCAGCTCTTCTATACAGACCAGAAACTTGGATTTCTAACAGATTGCAGACTTTCACCAACAGCTTCCTTCGCTCCATACTAAACATCAAATAGCTAGAAAAAACAAGCAACAAGGGACGACGGGAGCAAACCAACCAAGAGTCGATCGCTCAACAGATATCTAGGAGAAAATAGAGATGGATCAGGCATACATTGAGGAGGCCGCCGAATGACAATTTACTCCAGGCCCTCGAGTGGAATCCGAATGAGAAGCGACGAGTGAGTCGTCCTAGGGTAACATGGAGAAGATCGTGTGAGGAAGAGATGAGAGAGTTTGGTCAATCGTAGAGGACGGCAGAAAACAGGACAAAGTGGAGATTTGTTGTTGAAGCCCTATGTTCCTTTCGAACTCAAGGGAATAATAGTAATATCTTTAAATTATGTATGCGTATATTGATTCATTGATTGATTTTTGTTTAAAAATGAACTTTCTGTGCAAATATGTTAAAATTGTTTTAGTCGATATGTTTAATAATGTCCTTGCGCTGTAAGCACCTGAAATAAACTGTGGTTCTTGCTTTATTCAAATATTTATCCCACTGCGATACAAATATTGGTTGTATATAAATCTGTTTTACGCTAACAGTTGTTTTGAATTCATGAATGGTCAATGCTTCCGTTGTTTTTAGATGTGTAGAAGAAATAAGAGGCTACGAGCAAGCATGAATTCGATAGATGATGTTTATTTAATGGTCGCGGTTGAGGAAGTAACAGAAGTTTATCAGGTGTTCTAGAATATAGATTCACATACTTTTGTAAAATCAAGCTGATATCTGTTCTCTTATCCGTGTGGAAAGCATTTTCTGGCTATGGTATATGTTTCTTGCTCATTTGGAGCAGATGAACAGATAGATGTGCAGGAAAAACAAATTTCTGCAGATGGAGGCCATTTCAAATTTCGCTACAAAGAAAGTCTTACTGAATAATTTAGAGAGATGATTTTTGAGCCTACATGAAGCTTAATCATCATTGAATTCCAAATTCATGAAGATGGTTTTCTTCGGAGTGCAATCAATGATGAGGTTGGACTGCTTATCTTCCATGTTTTTTGTCAAAAATCAAGATGCGTAACTGTTTTCTGCAGGTATGGATTTACGGATGAAAGTTCTGTGTCAGTTGAGTAAGATCCACAAACATTTCCTGGATATAGTCAGACAACTACAAAAATTATTTAACTATCCATTCCATGTACAATTCCGATGGATGAATCTTTCAAGAGCTCCGTCATTATGTTGAATGTGGCACAGGTCAAGTAAAGGAATGCTTAGTTCAAAATATTTTTCTATGATAAATTGAATGCCAGTAAAATATCATGGGACCTTGTGGTGATCACTTCGCTTGATATTTGACTATGATTAAAACCACATGCATGTTAACTGCACTTCGCATTGTTACTATTTCAAGTATTCACATCTTTTTTAAAATTTCCTCACATATGTCGGTACACAGCAGTAAAGCTTGATAAAAAATTCGTTGAAGATAGTCTTCTCACTGAATATGCTGTTCTCATTATGAAATTACACGTCACCACAGTGCTCACACTGATTTTATCAACTTACTTGTATCTTAGCATTTTGGTGTAATTCATTCGTCTGTTCTTCTAAGAAGTCATTATT